AGAGTGGTTTCTTCTTAGTGCGGTGATTTAACTCTATAAACTAAACTATTTCTGGAGTGCTTGGCTGCGCAGGATCGATGCGTTTTCCTGGTTAACCACTGCACCCACACAGTGTAAATTCCTGCCTGAATTCACTTCTTGCATTTGCAGGAGCAGCAGCACCTCAGACAAGAACTCCCTGCACTGAGGTTCACACTCGCTGTGCCCCAGTTTGGTCCATCGGCCCCGCACCTCCAGGGGCCAGGAGGTGATGAGATGTTCACATGAATGCTGTGCCACACACCAGAGGACCCTGCAGAGTACATCTGTAGCCTGACAGTGATTTCTGGTGATACAAACTGTGTTTCCAGTGTCACCTGGGTCAGCCACCCATCCACAATGCTCCAAGATCCGGCTGATTTACGTGTAAGATCAGCCAATGGGAATGCAAAGCCGCCTACAAAGGTCTGTTACTCCAGGAGGTTTGGAAACTCCAGGCTGCAGATTAAAAACAAGAAGGAAGTACCTCCTGGCAGACCACATCCCTGACAGAATTAGAGACACGATGTACCCAACAGGACTCTTGATTTGGAGCTGCTCAGTGGATGCTCAGACAACAGAAAGCACCAGTTAAATCCTACCTTAAGCAGCTGCAGAATATCAGTCAATCGATGCCATTTGAAAAAAAAAAATCTATTTATTCTTGTCTTTAGAAAGGGAAGAGTGAGGAGGAAATGGATTTGAAGTAAGCTTAGAGAAGTCCACGATAATACTAATTGAAGATTTTGAAGTGCTTTCCCAACAGCAAGCAAAACACACAGATCTCAGACAGCAGAAGAGAAGCAGGAAAATGCAAAGCAGCTTGTCCAAGCTTATGCAACAGATGAGAAGCACAAACAGCACACGGATCTCCAGACTCCATCTCTGTGTCCTACCATCCTTTCATTTTAAAAAACTTAAATCCTATTTTGCACTCCAGAAAGATTTTCCATGTAGTTTTAAGTGTTAATTTTGAGCTCCACAGATTTTTTTTTTTTTCTTGATGTGGTACCTCACCCATTATCTCCTCTTCTGGACACATACAGTATAAAAGGATTTAGTATTTTAGAACCAAGAAAAGAGGGGGGGGAAAAAAAGTCCTAAATTTTTATTTAAAGGTAAATTCTTTTTCCTGTAGGCACATTGAATACAGGTTTGAACTAGCACTCATTTTTTATCTTACGAGGAGAGAAAAGACTGCTTGGAAACCGTATGAAAATTAAAAGCGCTAAGATGCAGCTAAATATATATATTTATGATATTTCCATTTGCTGAATTAACATAATGTACAATGTATTTTATGTATTATCTGTTCAGGTCTAGATACACTTCACTGCAGGCAGAGATGAAACAATTATCCAAAACACTGACAGACCATTTTTTAGCCCTGTGAAATGCAGTAACACAGACCACTTCAGCACACAGTTCCTACTTGTATGGCTCCTACACCAAGACACACCAGAATTTCTCAGTGTTAATGGTGGTGCCAGAGTTTTCTATGTCAAGCCACAGAGGCAAGTCACAAAATGGAAATCAAAAACTAATCTTAGCATGCTCCTCACTTTCTGCAAAGCACACATCAAACTCACAGGTACTTTCACATCTGACATAAATTAAAAGCCCTCTTTTAAAACCAAGTTGTGTTTTTTATGTTTCTAAGTCATCCAGAAGACAGCACTGTCAGATGGAGAGTTTTCTTTTGAATACCCACTGCCTGTGGGAATGGCTACTCCCCACACTTCCAACAACACTGACCTCTTTGGGGTTTGTCTCTTTTTATGCCATCCACGCCTGTGGACCTTCTCAGAAGCAAAAGGATATCTGAAGAGGAAAATTTACCCTTGTTGCCTGTCCTTTTCTCTTCAAACTCTCTCTGTCATTCAGAGTAAAGGGTAATATGCTCCAAGTCACCTATTTGCTCACAGATGGGCAAGGAGTGGGTTGTCTCTTGAGGTCAGATACTGCCAAAGAGTTAAAATATTAATATTGTGCCTGAAAGTTGAAGCAGCCGTGGTGCCCTCATTTCACAGGTACATGGGACAAACACAACTGACAGAGCAACTCTGTGGAAGGAACAAGAGTTGGCAGAGCTCTTAGCCAGCAGAAAGCTTCTAATGATCTGGTCCCTTCTTATGACCACCCTCCATCTTCACACAACCAACCATTTAAACAGGACTACGACAGGAAATTTTTCTACCAACCCTAAACATGTCTGTGTGCCTGGTATTACCTCTTTTTTCTGTAAGACATGAACTGGGATGGATACACTGACATGACACAACATATTCTTGCCAAGATCCTGCAGGGCAGATGGAATCTTGGAGCCCACCTTTTGAGCAGAGACTACTATCATGACTACAACAAAAGCTATTTCAGATCATTACTTAAAGTACACAATTGAAAAACCTAAGGTTTATGCCTTGCAGTAGAAGCACCTGATTAAAACGCACAGTTTAAACAGAAATCTCTGTTTGGCAGGTGAGGTTTGTAAGAATACAAGGTTCCCTTTTCCAAAACAAATGCAAGAGATTTAATCTAATTTAATACATTAATCTGCTACAAATCTTGGGCTAGATGCAAAGCTTTATTTACTGTCCTGAGGTAGGAAAAAGAATCAAGAATCCCAGAACACAAAGCCTGATTATTTTAAGGAAATGCCCATGCAAGAACTAATCCCAGAATTTACTGCTTCCCTGAGAGAGAAACAACCTAAAGGACGATTCCATTATCACAGAATGGTCTGGGTTGGAAGGACCTTCAAGACCATCCAGTTCCAACCCCCTGCCACAGGCAGGGACACCTTCCACTAGACCAAGTTGCTCCAAGCCCCATCCAACCTGGCCTTGACACTTCCAGGGATGGGGAGTCCACAACCTCTCTGGGCAACCGTATTTGATGTTCAGCTTGGAAAACACCACACAAGGAAAACAGCAGTAATTCACGAAGATACAAACTTTAAGATGAAGGGATGTCATCTCTCCCTGAACCCCTCTCTAGTCTGGTTTTTTAACCTGGAATTCCAGCTGTGCAGAGAGTTTTGGTCAAAAACCCAACTCCCTTTTCTTTGCACATGTGGCATTCCAGTTGAACAACGTAACGGATTGCCTTGGAGACCTAATACGTAGAACTCCTTATGGACACTTGGCTGAATTCCTTTCTTACCTGTTCCCAGTAAGTCATGCCCAATTTAAACAGCCTTTTCCAGGTGTCAAAAAGCCCCACAGGTTATGTAATGCCTGACCACCCTCCAAAAAGTGATGGATCAAGTATCACAACTTAACCATCCTCACATGCCTGAGCATTCTTTAGATCACACTGCCCCAAGGACTGCACCATCCCCACCCTCATGTGGAAATGGATAAGGATATTAAGGATGCCTTTGGTAATTTCATCGGTATTTTTAATGTGAATTTTGAGTCAGACCTTTTTTTAAGTGGAAAGTAGCATCCCACCACCCCACAGCTTTTATTCTTTACCTGGCTTGGCATTTCTCCAAGTAATTTAGGATCTCTAACAGAAAAATCACTGTAAGTTACCAGGAAATAAAACTGGACAACAGCAGTTCACCAGAACAAATGCTGGTGATTTCGTTATCGCTTCCAGCAGTGACCACACGTATTGCAGGGGAAAAGTCGACCAGGTTAAAGACTTTTCCACATTTTTATCTATGATCTCTCAGGGAATGTGCTAAGGAAACGGTCTCCCTACTGAATCATTTCAAGAATTTTACAGCCAAGATGATTTATTACCATAAAACAGGTCTTGGAAACAAGGACATTTGAGGAGACTCAATAGCTATTAAATCAGTGTGGAAAACATGATGCTGAAGGAATTGCAGATGCCTGACACATGTTCTACTACTCTTTTTTTTTTTCTTAACACTGAATGTCTATAAAAACCAAGCCTGCAGAATTACTTAAAACTTTTCAGACAAAGAGACACAGGTATAAATTAAAATGGTGTTCATATATAAGTAATAAAGAAATAACTAAAGTACCCCACAAAGGCTGTTTGTCAAACTGGAGTCACCAATAATTTCAAAACCTATGCGTTAAAAATATACTTATCGCTTAGTAAACAAGCTGAGACACATTTTGCAGAGTTATAGATGTTTTAGAGTTGAGTCAACAATACAGAGAAAACCTCACATCACCTTTTAATGAGTCCACTTGTTAGTTGGTGTGAAACCAAATTCAGAATCATCTTGGGTTTTGTTATTACAATTGCAATGTAGATGTTGTTGTTGCACAGAACATGCTCTGTTCAAGACAGTTAAAAGCATCTCTCTTTAAAATTTGCCATTGTCTACTACAAATGAATCAGAGAGATGATCTATGAGGCTTGCTATGCAAAACACCACGGAAAAACATGCTGCTTTCTTGACCAAAATGGAAAAAATTCTTGTGCTAAACCAGAGAACTACAGAATGGTCTGGGTTGGAATGGACCTTAAAGAGCATCTACAGTTCCATGGGCAGGGACACCTTCCACTAGACCAGGTTTCTCAAAACCCCATCAAACCATCAAACACTTACAATACTCAAGTAAATGTTTTTAATGTATTCCAAAATAGTCAAAATACAGTAGCCTGAAAGGAAGGCTTAAGGTTTTCTCACACCAGCTGATACAAAGTTTTGGAGCCCAAAATCCCTTTCCAGCCCTTCCTGCCTTCAAACCTCTCCTCTCCACATCCTTGGACCACAGCAGCTAAAACAGCAGTAATTTTGCAAGCACATAACCCAACCCTGAACTCCTTTATGCCTTGACACAGTGATGACAAAAGGAGAAAAGTGATCCACCTCATGCAACTTCACCCCGAGCCACGTGGCTCCAAACCAGGGAACTCAAGACAGTTCTACAAACTGCACTCACAGTCTGCGAAATGAGGAAAGCTAGTTGCCTTTTTAATTAAATGGATGTCTTAGAGAACAACTGACCTACAGTCTTATAAAAGAGGAAGATGAACATCCTTCTTTGACTTACGTTTTGGATTGTCCTGGTTCACTTGTACAACTCAGCCACCGTTCCTTTTTCTGCAACACAAGGAAGAAGACAAATTCTGTTAAAAAAAAAAGTATTTACTTGAACTGAAGTTTCTCATTACATTGTTAATTAATGCTTGAAGTTTACTGTTTGCTTTCAGTCAACACTGGAAAATATTTCCCTCCTTCCTTTTCTGTTTCTCTGATTTTGATTGCCAGAGTATTTCTGCTACATGACACAGCTCTATCAAGATGAACCATGGAGACTGCCTGGTGACTAGAGCATAACACTGAAGAACTAGAAATAAATCCCAAAACCTACTGCAGAGTTGACCAAAGAAATTCCTCATAGCTAGAGAAAATGAATAAATGAATAAACAAATAAAAAGAAAATATTTAATTGCTCAAAGATATCTTTGTAGTCTTGCTAGATCTGTGACTGCTCCTTGTTGGCCTTCAGCACCTAATTCAGGAAGGTGATGACCTGCCCTTGCTTTGGGGTCGTATCTGGTTGCTCAAACTTTCAGGCACTGTAAAACACTTCAGTGGGAGCTGAACATTGAAGGGGTTGGCCTTTATGTCCTGCTTTGTACTTTGGATTACCTGTGGAAATAGAGAAGGTATATCCATACCTTACTGGGAATTGAAACAAAAAAAAATAAAGGCAAGCAACCAAAAAACCACACACAAAAATCTCCTAAGTAGAGTTATGAGGGTATTGTCCTGAAAAAGAATGCTCTGATGCTACATTCTCTATTTAACCACATAATTAGTAAACTTCCAGCAGAAGCTGCAAAAAAATTCCTCATTCCCTTACTAGGCCAAGTAGCGACCTGGAAGAAGTACTCAAACCTCCATGAAGAACTGGTATGCTCCAGATAATGGAAAAACTAAGTAACTGGGGACGTGCTGGAAAATGAAGCACAGAGACATCTCATCACTCAAGGTTAGGGCTGTTCTTCTTCTGCTGAAAATGGTAATTTTCAAGAAAAAAAAAAAGAGACTATTAAAAAAAAAAGAGAGAGAGAGAGATGGAAAGAGGAGGACACCAGGCAGAAAGAATTCTGGCTCTGCATTGCAGCCAGGAAGGAATAACAAAGCAACAAGTAAATGCCAACATGGATTTGTCAAACTGCTTCACTCCCCAAGAAGTTAGAAAGCCCTAGGATATGGAGATGGTGCAGTAATCAGTCACCTGAGTGTGGTAGTTTTCATGCCACGTCATACTGCTTTCCCCCAAATAAATAAAAGGATCACAGAACTGGACGGAAAAACAAATCCAAAGAATAAAACTTAATTGTCCACAAAGTGATCACACAGATCTTGGCACGTGGCATCCAAGCTCCAGCATCAGCAGAACCCTGATGCCTTCAGAAGGAAGACAGTTATCTCATTAATTCATCAGACAACTATGCATGAGAAGTGTTTTCTTAATCTTGAGTCCTAAAATCTCAATATGAAATAAATACATGTATCATTAGGGGGTATGAAATCATCGAACTCCTTTATATAAGGGGCACCATTAAACGTCAAGCTTTTTAATTTAGCACAACAATAGAGTTTTACAAAGTGTGTTTTTCACTAATGACCTGGCCACTATTTTTGTTATTTTTTTGCCTGTAAAATGCACAGCCAATATTTTTGGTGTTTTTTTTTTTTTATAAAAAAAGACATTTCTTTCTCAAAATGTTGTGCAGGAAAAAAACAATCCAGAAAAAAATTAAGCTCAGAGTACAATTAAATATACAAAGGAAAACCACACAAGTACAGATTTCATCATACTCCTCCAGATTTTAAATAGATCAACATATTTTGGAGATGGGTGTGATTTTATGCGAGCTGTGCCCCTTTAAAATTGGCAACTACATTTAATTCAGTGCCTTCTTATTCCAAATTCCAAACTCCAGTTGAAAATAGATCTCACAATGGAGTCCTACAGCTGAATATACTCTAGGAGAAAATTAATACTCTAATTTATTCCAAATTCATTTGCATGACAGTATATCATTAGTATATACAAAAAAATATGTATTATATCAACAGAGAAAAAATTCTGTGCAAACAGTGAAAGAAACTCGCATCCCACCAGCGAGATGAGCTTGAAATTTAAAGCACAAAGCTGGTTTATTTCTCTGAAAAACAAACACACACAAAAAAATACCAAACAGAGCTGTTCAAGGTCCAGATTTTGATTTTTTAAAATACCGTGTGATCTTAACAAACAACAAGGCAAATATGATTTCTTGTACACCAGGTATCTCCTAAATAGCTGAAAACAGCCACGCAGTCAAGCCAGGACAGACTAAAAACTGATGTAACAACTCGGGTACAGACAGAGGTTTTCCTACCTCACTGATTAGTAACAAGTAGAAGAGGAAAGGAAACACACACTCACTTTATAACTCCATCAACCTTGTTGTCCTGGAAACAATTCTCCTACAAAAGAAGTACTTAACTACTAAAGCATCTTCTGCTACTACTTTTTGGTTTTTTTTTTCTTCCACCCCCTTCCCTCTCTGCAGTGCTCTCAATGTCTGATAAACAGCCAGTACCAAACCTATCTCGTAAAATGGCACAGAAATTGGATCTCTCGTTCCCAGAAGAAAATATATAATTCCATTTGAGTATGCAGCTCTTAGTTTTGCACAAAGCCCAAGGAACAGACTGTAATTTTGTTGTTGCTGTTGTTGTTAAAGTGACTTATTAACTGAACCTTTAATTTTAGAATATGTAATGCTGGTAAAAGGTACCCTCGGCATGTTCTTCCTGGGAGCAGAGTGAGAAATCTCAGACTGCAGAGCAGGCTCAGCCCTCCCTCGTAGGTGCTGAACAGCCCCAGCATGTACAGGCTGGAGCTCTGCACATAAAAATATTTGCTGTAAGGCTTCCTCTCTCCACCTGACCTACCATGAGTTTTGTCCTTCAACTGACCTCATCCAGAAAACTTAAATTAAGGACCAAGCTCTACCCTCAATATATATTCCCAAATACTCCATCAGCGAAATGTTTACTGCTTCCCCAAGCATTTTCTGTTCAGCCTGAGTTTCCTGCTCGCCTGATTGTACCTGGAGCTGAACAGGTTAATGTCAAACTTGCCTGCAGGAAAGTTTATCCACATGTAGCAGGAGAGAGACACTGAACGTGCCATGAAAACCAACACACATGGTATGACTGGATCCCCTTTTTCAGGTCCAGGAAGGACTCCATACAACATTTCCAGGATAACAAGTGGGACAGATACTCTTGCTGAAGGATGAACAAGGTAAGAGGACAACAGGACAAAAGCAAATGGCCTCAAGTAGTAACAAGGAAGGTTTAGACTGGATATCAGGAAAAATTTCTTCATGGAAAGAGTGGTCAAGCATCAAACAGGCTGCCCAGGGAAGTGGTGGAGTCACCACTCCTGGAAGTGCCCAAAAACAAGTGGATATGGCACTTGAGGACGTGGTTTGGTAGCGAACACGGTGGTGCTTTCGAGTTGATGGTTGGACTTGGTGATCTTAGAAATCTTTTCCAATTCAAACCATTCTATGATTCCATACAAACCAGAAAACCTACTGGGTAAACTCAGCCTTATTCACATACCTGGGGTGAGAGTCCTCTTTTGCCACTGAATATCTCTGTGGGAGTATTTTGTGTCACAGACCACAAAAAAAAAATCCCTATTTCTGGTTTTATGGTTACTGTCTGTGTTTGGAAGGGAACAGAACTTCTTGGTAATGTGCACCACATTGCTGACCACAAAGAAATTAAAAAAAAAACCCTCCTCTTAAGAGCAGAATTTTTATTGTCTCATATTCCCCCAGAAAAGCCCTGGGATCAGGAAGTCTTAGCAACTCCTGACTTTAAAGGAAAGAGCTCTAAGCAGGTTTCAGACCACAACTTTACACTCAGTATCCATCCATACACTGCTCTTTTTCCTACACAGCCCATTTGGATCAGATACAGTGATTTGGTCTTACCTAAACTGTCCAATCCACAGCAATGAATATACTTATATAAATGTTTTTAAACTCTTGCTTTTTGAAGTATTGATGTTTGAAGAAATTTTGCCTCTGACTCTCTCAGTCAGCCTGCCAAAACATCCTGCTTTCCAGTAAAGTGCCAAAGTCTGCACTGGTCTCAGATGGGAAAAATCACAATACACTGCTTTCAAATGAGACCTGTTAATTACCAAAACTATTCCCACAGTGAGTCCAAAGGGATTTTGGTTCCTTTAGACAATTACACCCAGCAGTTTATTCAGTGTGGTATCTCTCATTTATTATCATCACTCTGCTAAGGAGGAGACTTGCATTTTCCCTTGACTCCCTCCAACTTCCAATGTATTTACAAGGTCTTTTCATGTCCCTTATTAATGCTGGTTACCCATGTCTTTTTACTTTAGATTTTTGCATAATCCCTATCTAATTGTTTCCCAGAAAACTTGTGGATGCCCCATCCCTGGAAGTGCTCAAGGCAAGGCTGGAAAGGGCTTGGAGCAACCTGGTCTAGTGGAAGGTGTCCCTGCCATGAATAAGAACAGAATAAGATAATTTTTAAGGCCCCTTCCAACCCAAACCATCCTATGATTCTAATATGCTTTTACATTAGTTTTAAATTGTGTCCTTGTTTCTACTTTTCAAATTACTTAAATTTAATATATCAACATGATGTACACCTTTGTTTTCTCTTTTCTCTTGTGCTTTTACTCTAGACATTGTTAACCCTCAGGTCTCTATGTAGCCTCTGTACTCCTTTAAGTATCTCTGGAGAGATCAGAGAATCTGATTTGGGTTGAAAGGGACCTTACAGATCATCCAGTTCCAAACCCCTGCCATGGGTAGGGACACCTTCCACTAGACCAGGACATCTGCTTAGCTGGTAAAATTAGCTGAAATCTCAACTGATTAGGATTTGAAATAGCTACCAATAAACTACTATCACTAACAGATCTGAAATCTCAACCTCACAGTCTTGAGCTGCCTCTGCAAAATGCCAGGGATCAGGATTTATAATTTCTCATCCCCTCCACTACGGATCCAGCTCCCTCAGCAGCATTTACTGCACAG